ATTAACCAAAAAAAATTACATCTTTATTAATAACAAATTAATTATTAAACAAAAATATTAAATATAAACTAAGCAAACGTGCATTGCACGTTGCTTGCACCTAGTATATTAAAAAAATGTACTAAATGATAACGAAGATACGAAAAAAGGAAATATTGTAGGTTGGAGATTTAATATTACATTTTTTTTTGTTATTTGGCAAAAAAAAAAAAAAATCATAGCTAAATTTTGATCACATTGACAATTGAGAGTGAATTCAGGTTCCGCCCTGATTTCATGCATAGCTTTGGAGAAGATGGAGAAAACTGTGAATTGACAAACATAAAGAATCTGGGACTTCAATGTAATAATGAGGCAATGGTAGGGAGATATCAGTCAAAAAAATCATTATCTCCATCACTTGCAGTATTTTTCTTTGTTTCTCCTCGAATCATGTGCCGACCGCAGCTCCTTATATGAAAAATTACTCTCAGTGTTCCCTTTCACATTCTGTCGACCAAAATTTTCCATTTAAAGCAACCCAAGAAAATGTCGAAGAAATTCTAGATTACGCATTATTGGGCAGTTGATATCTCATACATTTTCTTTATTATTATTATTTTTTGGCAGTTTGATTAATTGTAAAGCTTTCAATCTGTGTAATAGAATTATGTTTAAAATCGTAGTTTTCGAGATTTTCCTTTTTCTTTTCCTCCTTTATATGCAAATTAATAGTAGTTGTGTACAGTTGTAAAATAAACAGTCTTATTTTTTGTAAGTTGGTGATTCTGGGAGAAAGAGATACCTGCGGTGGCGCAGTGGTTGATGGAAAGCAGTGGAGGAGGGGATGATCAAGGCTCTGGATGGATGCAAGTCAAAAAGGTATGATTTTTACACACGCCCATTTCTTAGAAGGATCAAAAAATGAAGATTCTTTACTTTTGAATAGAAAATGCATTTACATGTATATTATCCGGGGTGTTATTTGTATGATGTGTTGAATTTTATTTTACTTTTTTGGTTGAAAGACGTGGGCTGATGTTCACCTGTTCGAAAAAGTCTTGAGTTCTTTTGATTATTTATCACATGGAGTACCTGAGTTAGATGAGAAACTGATGTGCATTGAATTTTGATCTTTCAATTCTTAGTTTACGGGCGAGAATGTTTTCTTTTTTTTTTAATATCCCCAAAGCGTCACTTTATAGTTGATGCCTCAACTCTGATTGTAATTTCTGAGTATGTCTTTTTCCTGATTAGTACTGTCTGGAATTGAGATTGTTGGTATTGCAAACCAGTGGTGTCTAAATTCCAGTTGGCGTGATGGCTTTCAGCATCAGTCCGTTCAAGAAATTAAAGCATTAAAAATATTACCTTATCTTCTAGATCGAAGTTTGTCTATCCGCATTACTAAACTTATGCTTTCTACACTCTAATTCTCATTTCTTTCTGTTTCTACTCATTTGAGGATTTGTCTTGTCATGTTTTCCTTTCAATATCAAAGAAGGATATTTCTTATGATCAGGATGAAATTTATGATTTTGTTTTAGTTTCACATACTTGTTTTGAGAAATTTCATGAACTTCTTGACAGAAACATAGAAGCACTTCAAAATTCTCGCAACATGGTTTGGTTAATGGACTCTCTGGAAAACAGAGTTCTAGTCATACGATCACCCAGCTTCCATTGGGTGCTGGTAGAGACTGTAATGTACACGGTCCCAATAGTGCTGCAAATTCATCTTCTATTTCAACTGAAGATGAGGTGGTTGTTCATTGCCTTATAAATGTGTTGCCAGTCAAGGTAATGGAAACTCCAAATCAGTTCAGTCAGAGTAACAGACATCCAAGATTCTAATTGTACAGTAGTTGTCAAACGTACTCAGAAAAATAACATCTTTCCGAAAATCAAGTGGGGTGACTTGGATGATGGAACATTGATAATGTATTATTATAAAACTTCTGAGACTTTAATTAAATTAGGTGGGATCGATAATCAAAATTTGCTCCGTATGAAATCTGACGGTGCTGATGAATCTCTTTCAAGTTCAAAAGCTGATAACAAGGACATCGACTTTGTTGGAGCAACAGTAGATGAAAATCAGGATCTTCCAAAGTCTCATCCTTTTTCCCCAATTACCATTTCTTTTGCTGAAGACTGTAATGAGGTGAATGCAATATCATCAGAAGATGTGAAAGAGAAAATTACAAGAGAGAGAATCGTTAGTCAATTTTCTATTACTTCTACTCTCAAGGTAGATAGTGAATATTTTATCAGCAAAACTGTTGATGCCTCCCATTCGTCCGGTGAAAATACACCATGTACTGGCATTGAAGAGGTTGGACTGATGGAAACACCTGGTTTGATATCTGAAGCTGGTTTTTCCAAAGATTATGTAGTGCCACCTGAGAAGAGTGAACCTAGAAGTGTGGAAGAGTCTATCCTGATCACTTCTGTGGAAGAGTCCAGGGATCAAAAGTGTGATTCGATTCCTGATGATTTTCTGGAAACCCAAAATATGGATTCCATTGATGCATATGACACGTGTGAAGGTAAAGAAAGATTCAGGCAACGCCTTTGGTGTTTTCTCTTTGAGAGCCTTAATAGGGCTGTAGATGAACTCTATCTTCTGTGTGAACTTGAATGTGATAATGAGCAGATGAAAGAGGCCATTCTTGTTCTTGAAGAAGCTGCATCAGATTTTAGAGAACTAAATTCCAGAGTTGAGGAGTTTGAGAAACTGAAAAGGTCCTCTTCTCATGTAAATGATGGGGCACCATTGATCATGCAGTCTGATCACCTCAGACCACATGCCCTCTCATGGGAGGTTAGCATTCTTATTGTTTTGAATGTCAATGGATTATACTTTAGGTTTTATTGTAGCTGTAGATTTGTACATGATGACTTTATTCCATCTTCCTCTATAAGATACTTTCAGTAAATATATCTGCTCATAAGTATATATTCAAAATAAAAAGAAAAATAAAAAATAGGCCTGCCAAAGAGTCTATTCGTGGCTTCTTTTTCTTTTCAAACAGTCCTAGGTCAATAACTTAGCGATTTGATGATTTATCTTGTCACTTTTCAACTTCCTTCATATTTCATTTCTTCATTGCTTATGCTGAAATGGTTGCACTTGACAGAATCAATTGAGCTGTAAAACTATTTTTGCTCAGTTACAGTGGAATCATACATAATATTAGAATATTTAAATAATAAGCTTCATTTTTAGTAATGATTATCTTACGTTAGTTATGAAATCACGTCTGTGCATTATTCTCTCTGATGTGCAACTGATTGTGGTTTCCTTTTAACTTTTACAGTGAATTTGACATCCTTTCCATGCAAATGCAATGCTTGATATCAGTTTTTCATTCCCCATATATATATATATATNATCAGGTGATATTTTGGAGAAGTATTCTAAGAGTAGTAATTTAGAAGGCGATAAGTATGCTAAGAGAAGTAATTTAGAAGGCAATTCTAAAGAACCAACAGCAAAGGAAAGGAAGCAGACTGGATCCACAGGTAACTCTCAGAGATCAATCAAAGAAAAGAGAAATGTTGATTCAATTAAATCTAGTTCTGCTGCATCTAGGATTCTGATCAATAGGGAACTAAATGCTGATTTAGAAGCCGATAAACCACTTTCTAAGAAAGAAAAAATGTTGGCAGAACATAGCGTGGGGAAAAATTCCAAAGCAATTGATTCCCTGAAAAGACAGATTCCTTTTCTTGAGAAAGAGGGAGAAAAGAGAAATGTGAGCTCATGGAAATCCATGGATGCTTGGAAAGAGAAGAGAAATTGGGAGGACATACTTGGAACTCCGCATCGTGTAGCTTCCCCTTTTTCTTGTTCACCAGGCATGAGCAGGAAAAGTGCTGATCGTGCACGCATTTTGCATGATAAACTTATGTATCCTGAGAAGAAGAAAAAATCAGCTCTTGACCTTAGAAAGGAAGCAGAAGAGAAACATGTGCGAGCCACTAGAATCAGAACTCAACTTGAGAATGAGAAAATGCAAAAGCTTCAACGCACTTCAGATAAACTGAACCGTGTGAATGAGTGGCATACTGTTCGCAGCAATAAGTTGCGAGAGTCAATGTTTGCTCGCCACCAGCGTAGTGAATCTAGGCACGAAGCTTATTTGGCTCAGGTTGTGAGAAGAGCTGGTGACGAAAGCAGTAAAGTTAATGAGGTACAATTCATCACCTCGCTAAATGAAGAGAATAAAAAGCTTATATTACGGCAGAAACTTCAGGATTCAGAATTGAGGAGGGCTGAGAAACTTCAAGTGATGAAAATCAAACAAAAAGAGGACATGGCTAGGGAAGAAGCTGTTCTGGAACGCAAAAGGCTCATTGAAGCAGAAAAGTTGCAGCATCTTGCGGAGACACAGCGAAGGAAAGAAGAGGCTCAAGTAAGACGGGAAGAAGAACGCAAAGCATCAAATGCAGCACGAGAAGCGAGGGCTATGGAACAGATGCGAAGAAAGGAGGTACGAGCCAAAGCTCAACAGGAGGAGGCTGAACTCCTGGCTCAGAGATTAGCGGAAAGACTCAGTGAAAGTGAACAGCGACGCAAGTTTTATCTTGAACAAATACGTGAAAGAGCATCAATGGATTTCAGGGATCAATCTTCACCTTTATTGCGGCGCTCTATGAATAAGGATGGTCACTCTCAAGGCAGATCTACTCTAACTGGTAATCAAGAAGATTATCTGGTAAACAATAGTGGTGCAGGAGGCTCTAATATTGCAACTGCCAATGAGTCATTGCAACACTCATTGAAGCGAAGAATAAAAAAAATCCGGCAAAGACTTATGTCACTAAAACATGAATTTTCTGATCCTCCTGTTGGTGTCGAAAATTCTGGCATAGGTTATAGGACTGCTGTGGGAAGTGCAATGGGAAAAATTGCCAGATGGCTTCAGGAACTGCAAAAACCTCGCCAAGCGAGAAAAGAGGGTGCTTCTAATTTTGGACTAATAACTGCTGAAATAATCAAGGTACCAAAGTGAACCTTCATCCTAGTTTACATTTGACGTATTACTTTTCCTTATTATATCGGGAAACGAATACATAACCTTCAAGTCAATGAATAATTATCCTATTACAATTTCCTGCTATTTGTGTAAACATTAAAATTGTTCGCATTGTGATGTTGATTTCCTATTTCTTGATTCAATCATCTCCTTTTTTTTTTTTCCCTATTTAAAATGCTTACTCATTGATTTAGACATACATTTGTTACTAGTTCCTGGAGGGAAGGGATGCTGAGCTGCAGGCTTCTCGCCGAGCTGGTTTAAATTAATTGATTTCATTGCTTCTGCACTACCTGCTTCTCACACATCAAAACCTGAAGCTTGTCAGGTTACAACATACCTTTTAAGACTTCTGAGGGTAGTGCTTGCAGTGCCAGCAAACCGGAGTTATTTTCTTGTGCAAAATCTCTTGCCTCCAATCATCCCCATGTTAGCAGCTGCACTTAAGAATTATATTAAAATGGCAGCATCCATCAAATATTCGTGGTTCTACCAACTTTATCTCAAGTAAAACATCGGTTGGATATTTAGAGACTATTTCTGAAATTTTAGATGGTTTTCTATGGTCCGTGGCAGCAATTATTGGTCATGTAAGCTGTGATGTGCGCCAACATCAGATGCAGGATGGTCTATTAGAGCTTGTTATTGCCTACCAAATTATCCACCGGCTAGGGGATCTTTTTGCACTTTATGATAGGCCACAGATGGAAGGTTCACCTTTTCCTCCATCTATTCTCCTAAGTATAAATTTGTTGACAGTTATGACTACCAAATTTGGAGATGTGTCCTCAATAGATTGGGAATCTTTTCCAAATGAAATGATGCCAGGAAATGCACCTGGAGAGGCAAGAGGCAAAACTTTTTGAGGCTGCAACCTCAAGATCTTCCACTTCATGTGATTCTATTGGATATAATGGTTCACCTTTTCCACCTGGTAGCGTACCCTTAAATTTGCCAGATGTACCAGAGGATAGGCCACTAGACAATATTCCAATACTCGTTGACAAAGAATCTCATAAAACTGAGTGTATTAGATCTAAGATCAAGACCGTAGTGGCTGTAAATGAATCTCCAATAATTCCGACAGCTGATAAACCTGAGGGTTCTGTACCTCAGAAGGATGGAAAGGACTCTTCAAGCAGTGCTGCAGAACAAAAGAATGCAAATAACTTTGGCTTAAAGCAGCCTGTGGCTTTTCTTCTCTCAGCAATGTCTGAGACTGGCTTAGTCTCTCTTCCTTCCATGTTAATTGCTGTGCTATTGCAGGCTAATAACCGGTTATCTACTGAACAGGTATTTTACATCCCTTCATTAATATATGTATTATGTGCTATGCAATGTTTATTATTTCACTAATATTTATTTTCCTTAACAATTTTTAAATAAATTCATTCAAGTTTCTGAGCCAGCACTTGAAACCTTGTTCATTCAATTCTTTTTATTTTGCTGATTGTGTTTTAACATTTCATGATTGTTTTGTGGTTCTCAGAAACATCAATATTAAAACTGTCTTCCACTGTTTTATTTATCATCTTGAACAAAGAGAAAACCAGTGCTTGTCCATTTCATCTTGGCATAAGCATGTGGATGCAGGTTTGAGATCATGGCATTGTTATACTCAGATCATATAATAAACAGATTGACAATTTGTTTTGCTGAAGAAATGCACTTTAAAGTTTAAACCAGTCTGAATCGGCAATATGCTGCAAACAATGCCTTGCAACAGCTGCTTATCATTCACTTAGTATGACTTTGTTTAATTTAACTTATTAATTTCATTGAATACTTACTCTTCACTTGAAAGAAGTTGAGATTGTTCCTGTTTCTGGTTTGTTGCTAGCCAGATGGATGTCTTTCTGTCTTTTATGACCTCACCCCCTGAGAAAGATAAACTTACTTGATACCGTGCAAATTGTCTTAATTAAGACTGTTTCTTATTTGTCTCTTTCCATTGAAGCATATAGTGAATATAAAAGATTCTATAGCAAAGCTAAAAGTTGGAAAGACATGATCTGCTTCTGGTGATCAGTTAAAAGTTATGAGTATTCTAGACTGTCAGTTTTCCTAGTTTGGTATTGAATAATTGAAACTGAGTTACTATTATTCAGAGCTCGTATGTCCTTCCATCTAATTTTGAGGATGTGGCAGCTGGAGTGCTGAAGGTGTTGAACAACCTGGCGCTAATTGATGTAACTTTCATTCAAAAAACATTAGTAAGTTGCTATGATCCAAATTTTTATGTGGAGCTTTTCGTTAGATGGTTATAACTTCTTTGCTTCAGCTTCTTATCTACACTTTTTTTGTAATTTGAAGTGAATTATTTACTTGTCCTGGATTAATTGCAGGCTCGGCCTGACCTTAAAATGGAGTTCTTTCACTTGATGAGTTATCTTCTTTCGTATTGCACGGCCAAGTGGGGAATAGCTACCGATAAGGTGATATTGACCTTGTTTCTCGTGTGAAAAATTAGCATATAAGTTGACATAGTAGCTGATCAACACATCACATGAAAAGTCTAGCATATAAATTTATATTCTAAATATAATTGCTTTAATGGCATATACAGATATAAGCCCCACGTACAAAAAATTGTTTGCAAATCATCAGAGAAGTAACTAGTTTGATTTTGATGCCATATATGGGACATTTTGCATTCTCTCTCTCTCTCTCTCTCTCTCCATGTTCTTATATTGGGTTCTGGAGAAGTTAATTTCTTTATTATACAATTGTCAATAGTTGAAACACAAACATGCCATTTCCAGTATCTTCATTCCCTTGGTTACAGTATAATTTTAATACGAAATTGGCATTGGTTGAATTTTCTTTAATGTCTAAGGAAAACTATACATTAGGTCGCCAACCTAGTTTCTGGAGCATCTGGGTCCCAAACCTTTCACCTTTGTAGCATTTAAGCTCTCACTAGAGGGAAACCTCCATTTGAACAATAAAAAGTCAAATTTTATGTTAAAGAACATCATACTGTTATTCTGAATTAAAAGAAGAAAGAGAAGGAAAAAGAAAAGAAAAATCTATCATCTTCTTCACTAACCGCACCCCACCTTCACTGTCGACTTTTCTCCACCTTGCGGCTGCCATCCACTCTACTTTCTCTAACTCGTGGAACCCCACGCTAATCCCACTCCCCACCAAACTCACCACCCACCTTCCCTGACAATCGACTACCTTCGAGCCTTCTCCAACCCTAGTCGCCTGCAAACCCACCCACTCACAAAAAACCCCAACTCCAACCCTTCAATCTCAAAACCTCTGATACTCGGACTCTTCGAAATAGTTGGAGTACCCGTGTCGGATACGACACAACATGGGTATGGGTATGAGATATGTGTCGGATTCTCCAAGTTTCGACCGGACACTTCATCGTTTTTGCTTCTTCTTTCTTCTTTTTTTTTCTTTTTCTTTTCTTTCCCACTTTTGTTCTCTATAAACCTAGCGCGGTCATCAAGGGGGTGGAGAAAGATGGTGATACTAGGTTTTTCCTTCTCTTTCTTTCTTTCCGTTTTCTTCTTTTTTTCTTATTTCTCTCTCTATATCGATGGTTTAGGATTTTGTTTGTATAATATGAAAATGGGTTCCATATAGAGCTACTTAGTGCTCCACTGAGTTCAAATTACAATCGAGTTCCTCATTTTCTATTTTATATAATATTTAGTAATTTTCATTATTGAAAACTAAATCTCAAAAATTTGTCTTAACCCCTTATTAAATACTCATTTTATTCATTGTAAATAATTAATTTTGGTCAATTCAAAATGACAACCTGGATTAGTAAAAAAATTGAAGTTTGAAAGACGTACCCACGTACCCGTGTCCGAAATTTGGATTCTTTTTAGCCATGTCCCCGTATCCTACATTTTAGAAAATAAAAGATCCGATACATAGATACGTATCCGTACCCGAGTCCCAGCAACATAGCTCAAAACAATTTCTCAAATCGCATATATCAGAATTTTTCAGGTATTGAATTCATTCTTAACATTATTCTCCTGGTTTCACCCAGTACTGGGGGGTTCAAAAACTATTATGTGAATATAATTACCTGAAAGAACATTCAGCTCGTCTGGTCTTTTTAGGTTTTTTTTTTAATTAAAGCACCGTAACAGCCTTGGCATGTTTTTTAGGCCCTCCTTTTTATGCGTTTTGGTGCCTTGAGAAAGAAGCATTAGAACTCCCTTGTTAATAATTTTTACATGTTCAAAATTATTCTATTTGTTGAGATTCTCTTCATGGCAAAATGGAAAAGCATTTTTCTGTTGTTTCTGTCTTATTTATGGAGAAATCAGAGCAGGAATTTAACAAATAACAGATATAATATTAGTTATCTTTGCTATACTCCAGAGCACCATAACCTGTAGTTCACTGCATCTGCAAACTCACTGCTACAAGATTTAAATTTGTATTCCACAACCAGCACCGTACTATTTCCCCCGTACATAGCTTCATTTTTTCTGCTTAGATAATTTATCAGATGTGGTTTTTTGTGGCTCCAAAGTCCAGACGTGAGCTTAAAAGCAAGGATGAGCTCCTTTTCAATGTATCGAAAGGAAATGCGAACTTGAAAGAATTAGTTCTTTTGCTTCGACTTTAGCATTAAGAAAAAGCAACTATGAACTTGAGATGCCTTATGTAACCATTTTTATGTGTATTGATAAGCACTACTATCTATGTCGTTCATTTCTGCAACGATTCATGGCAAGTGTAGATTTTGTCATTGGTATGGAAAGAATTTTATCCTAGTCTGTGTATATCGGATTGGAATTGTTCATGATTTAGTTCCCCAACACCCAAGCCACCCAGTAAGTAAATAAATAATTCTAGAAGAAAAAATCTGTGAGCCAAAAGTGCGTTACTGTGTTGCAGTTCAAGATTTCCTATTACCCATCCCAAACTTTATATTAGCAGACTATCTCCATCTGTGTCAATTATTCGCTCTGAAGTTCATATAGGAGTGAAGTATAGCTTATTGGTTTGTATTTGTTTCTCGTACTGTAGTTTGGTGTTCCAACTCTGAAATTCCTTTTTTGAGCATTGCTCTGTGCGGGCTCAATTTTTTGCATCTTTCCTCTGGCTATCAAGACTTCTGCTCATTTATCTCTCAGACTATTGATCTAATTTCTAAACCTGTAGCTTGTATCCTTCATGAGTTAATTATTTCCTTCTGTCTTCTTTGAATAGTCACTCAACTACGTTAGTTTCAGTTTGGTCACCAAACTTTTTGTTTTTTTTTGTTTTTGTTTTTAAATCATTCACTGAACTGTCAGTTTTGTTTCAACTAATTTACATTGTCTACCTCCGTATTCTAGATTATCAAATAGAGGTGAAACTTGATGTTTGGTCCTCATTCAGGAAAACATTTTACTAGTGAAAGGAATCGGTGATGTTGGGTGCATGTTTGTCAACATCAATTGATTACTTTTCAGTCCGATATCTGTTGATTATTGTTGTATTAATTTATGGTTGTGAGGAATGAGTTTTAAGATATTTACATTTTTGATGCTCATAAATTTCTCAGATTGGTCAGCTTTTGCTGGAATCTTTAGTACTTCTTGGATACTTTGCCTTGTTCCATCCGGAGAATCAAGCTGTCTTACGATGGGGAAAGAGTCCGACCATCCTTCACAAGGTAAGTGAGTTTGTAATGAAATTTCACACTTTATATATATAAGCTTTAAAAATTTAATTATAAGTTAGGTTTACGTATAACTAAATTAAGTATAAAATAATTACTTTTTGTTGGCCATCTTCAAGTTATTTCGAAAGTGACCCATGCCTTGCTGTCAAAAATTAGTTACTTCTTTCTGATAAGGTGTTTCAAAACAACAAATTACTAAATGGCGACTTTTACTTTTAAACTTAGCCAAACATGTTGTACGGCACATTTATCTCAGACGTTGGATTAAAGAATCTAATTTATCCAACTGGAAGCACAGGTCTGCGATTTGCCTTTCGTGTTCTTTAGTGATCCCGAGTTGATGCCAGTATTAGCCGGCACATTAGTGGCTGCTTCATTTGGATGTGAACAGAACAAGGATGTTATTCGGCAGGAACTCAGTGTGGACATGCTTCTTTCCTTGCTCAAATCATGCAAAAACAGTCCGTCCAATTCAACCCTAAACGGCATGCCATCAGAAGAGCCTGGTGAATCCAACCCTGTGGCTCTTGAATTTAGAAAACTCCCAGTCGATGCATCTCAGAAATCATACCGAAACAATCTAAGAAGCAATCGAGGATTTTCCCAGAGAGGGTTTATGCCAGCGAATGACACGAGAACAATGAAGGTTCGAAACCCGAGAGACAACAAAGCAGGAAAGCCTTATGAAGAGACTGGTTTGGGGCCCTGTCAATCTTCGTCTGAAACTTCTGCCTCAATGTTGAGATTTCCGATGAGCTTCATCAATAAAGTGGAGCAGATTTTTGCTGCTAAAATAACCAGACTAACGGAAGGTGATTGATTTGGAAGCTCATTTGTTTAGAGAGACAAGCAATTCAAATGAACTGCACGAAAATATTTTGTTTACAATTTATATTCTTGAAAAGGAATGGAAAAACTTTTGTATTATCTACCCATCTGAAAATGGCTGTATCATGTAACTTTGTTCTCATACAAATTGTTGAAATGAAATTCACTGGTGATTCTTGCGTAATGCTGTGATTGATTCCAATTGTACCTTATGAGTTATGAGATAGATTTATGAGCTATGTAGCAAAATGAAGCATCCCCTTTAGTCGGAATAGCCACAAACTGTGGAATAAAGAATATAGAGAATTGCGACTGACCCAACTTTCCAACACTTTTACCCGCAACGCAATAGATGCTAGTTTGTGGACGACTTTGTTCCTATCTCTAGAATTAAAATTGACAACCAACAATTAAATTAAAAGCTATTTGAACAGTGCCCAGTAGACTCCCTCTTCCTCTCATCCCCTCTTCAGGTGTTTAATCGGGGTACTATTACCTTTGTTCCTAAACTTGGAATGGATGGCCGAGTGCAGGTGGCAAGCAGTTATATGGATACAGTGCTTTTACCTGTAGATACTTCTCCAACTCTTGTAAAAATTGTATAGGAGTGATTCTCCGAGGGACTTTCCGAAAAGAAATAATATTTTAAAGAACCACTTCATTTGGAGCAAATCGAAAGCCTGAACATAGGCTCTAAACTGAAGCCCTTTCCTCGTGCAACTACAAGTATTACTATTATGAATTTCATGATTTATTTGTTCAAAAATAGTTTTTAAACCAAAAAAATACAGTACTTGATATATTGATAAAAATACATAAGCTACATTAACCTTGTTTGAGCACCATACTAGAAGCAACTTTTTGCAAAAACTATGGACATATTTTGTTAAGCCTCGCCACGGAGGCTCCTGGTGGAGATCACGTCGTAGTCCACGTGGAGACATGAGTCAGATCTGACAAAGTCAACAAAGACCTAATTGATCAAAATAAAGAAGTCAAAGAAGAAATTGATGCCTTTTATTCCGAAGCTCCTTTGGCCGAAGCCCTCGCTCCATCCGAAACTCCCTTTTGGCTGAAGCCCTTACTATCTTTTAGAGAATTTGCAAGCAATCTTTAGGAATGATTGATGTAATGTTTATAATAATGAATGTCAGGATTGTCAACCTAGGGTATAGAGTTGCGGCCCGTTGTCAATGTATTAAATGTATAGCAGACTAAGTGATGTAAGGCTTCGACTTGGGAGATGAGGCCACGTAGTCCTTATCCAATGGCTACCACTTCGGCCAGAACTCAAATAAGCAACTCTTGTAACATTTGTTTGAGATGAACTCTTTACACTTCAAGCCATACTCTGTTTTCTCTCTTGCTTATTCCATATTTATTTGCTTGAGTTTAGTTTGTTTTTATTTTGGTTGAGTTGTTTATGATTGTTTGCTTATATGTAATCATCTTTGATCATATTGTCGATGTTCGAACATTTTTGTTTCGCATCGTAAAGTATCTCTCACTTCCATAAAAGCCATCATTTTTCAACCGAATCTGGTCAAAACATGTTGGAATTTGATTGCGTGGACGCTAGTGGGCTCGACATATGTGTTCACGTAACCATTACAAAAAACGGGGTCAATAGATTAGCGCCGTCTGCAGGAAGCCACACGTTCAACCACGAAGAACCCATGGGAAAAACTATTAAGGTGATACTTTGGGGTGGGTTTCTTACCTTTGAAGAGAATGGATTGTTCTTGAAAAAAAAAACCACCAGATATTCCAAGAAGAACCGCTTGTCAGATTCCAATATATTCCTTGAAAACGAAATATCATTTGCATATAAAATACCAAGTTGCTTTTGAAGAAAAGACGTTAACATAAGTTGACAATGAAGAGTCAGCGCCTCAGAGAGCTAGGAAACACCATAAAGAAGGAGAACCTTCATATGTTGCTCACCGGCATGGTGGATCAAGAGGTGAGTCCAGAATAACTACTAGACTCACCAGGGAGGTGGCTACCTTGGACACAAATGTGAGAGATATTACCCAACAGAATATTACCATGCACAAGCTGCTTAGGAATATGCAAAACCAGGGAGGATACCCAATGCCCCATACGCAGCTCAAGGGAATTTCTTCTTCCGTGATCCTTCCTTAGTTCCGCAAGGGAATTACTATCATGGCGAAGAGGAGGTCCAAATCTAAATGGCTATTTATCAACATTACACCAAGGAAGAAGCCCCTCGGGAAAGGAAAGTTGAGGTTGATACATCCACCAACTATGCTATTTATCGACCCAATGAGGTTCCATTCAACTTTCCTCTAAATTACAAACCAGAACACATGCATCAGAGATCCATAAGTACATTTGATAAGTTGAACCCCGAAGGGCCTAGAAATAGGAAGGCTCAACCTTCCTTTGCACATAGAAATAGGTAGCAAGGGCAAACGGTCTCAAAATCCTCCACCTAGGAACAAGCATTAGAAGAGGGCAAAACATGCCAGAAATCAAACAGAACTTTTCCTACCACCCTAGGGACCTCAAGTTAGAGAGGATGAAGATTCTGACGAACCACAAACGTCTTGCGGCCTCGACGATGATGATGACAATTTGCCATTCTCCGAGGGAATTAGGGATATATCCCTTTCCTAAGCCACTTCATGCTTCCTAAAATTTCTAAGTACGATATAATAGGTGTCCTGTGAAGCTCCTCAACAGCTTCAAAACCCATATGAGCTTAAGGGGTTCAACTTCCGCTATGAAATGTAGAGCCTTCCACTTGACCCTAAGTGGGGCAGCTGAAATGTGGTACACTAGGCTTCTAGAAGGGAGTATTAGAAATTGACCAGATTTTAAAAAAGCTTTCCTTAAGCGCTTCACAACAAGCAAGGAATGAGAGTCATTGAAAAGTTTTCTATCTCATTTTACTGATAAATGACCTACTGCGTACAAGTTACCGATAGAGAAGCACTATCAGCCATAAGGGAAGGGCTGGACACGAATTATCTCTTTTGGAGAGACGTACAAAATAAGGATCCTACCGTTATAATGCCCTATTGAAAATGATAAGGCTGATCATCGCAATAAGGCCAACCGTGGACTTCTACTTCCTCAGAAACAACGAGGAAGAGATCCCACCTCTCATTTGATGGAACACCAGATCGGACAGTCAACCACCCTCAACCCAGGGCAAGCACTAGCTACAGCAATGTTGAATGCAATACCAAATTTAGCTTATGAAGAAGTCAACCCCACTTTTGAGACACACCAAAGAAAGTCCAGCCAACAGTTTCTCCAAAGGGAAAAGGATAGAGGGCGAAGTTCTGAACTTAGGAATAGGGATGAAACACCCCTCTATTGCACTTACCATTATTCCTACAGCCATAATACATGACATTGCATTACATCCACAATCTAGTAATCAAAGAAGAAACAGACGCCTACGAGGAGATACACCTCTTAGGTAAGATCGACAACCTACAAGGATCGAGGTCAGGCGTCACATTCAAAATGACGTTCCTCAGAGATGAGAAAGTGATGGGAGAGGCCTAGGGAAGTCCAAAAAAAATAAGGAGCCCTCCAGCTAACACTGACCCCAACTTATTCGAGAGATTGTCACAATCTTTTGACGTTTGTATGTTGGAGGGGGAAACTAGAAATGTGCAAATGAACTATGTAAGTGAAGCCCAGGATCCCCAAATGACAAGCTTCATAGTCAACAACAATCGACCCTCAACTGAGAGAGGGGTTCAATCCATTACTTTCACACAAGATGATGCCGTTGACTTGGATTCACAGCCATTGTGACACGAAATGGTCTTAAAAGAATGTTGGTGAATAATGGGAGTTCGATCAATATTATATTTGGAGCAACCTTTGATAAAATAGATGTGGGCCATGAGCTCCCATTTGTATGACTTCACTGGTGATAGCATCATCTTAAAGGAAAAATCACTCTAGCAGTGGAGATAGGGACGATCCCCTTGATTGCTCATCATTTTATGAAATTTTTGGTAGTAGACAACCACTCTACCTACGAAGGAGTACTTGGAAGACCAATGTTAAAGGAGTTATGGGCTGTTATGTCCATTCACCATTTTTGTATGAAGTTCTATACAGAAAATTGCATGGCAATTGTTAGAGGCGACCAAATGAGTGCAATGGCGTGCTATTTGAACTCTCTGAGGAATGAAGAACCTAGGGACATCAATGTAATTTTAATGGACATTGACATGAACGATGTCCTTGAATAAGAGGTTGTATTTAGAGTAATAACAGTCTCTGAAAAAGGGAGAGTTGCTGAAGAAGTGGCTAAATTTGATGAACTGGATCATTGCATCATTGATTGTGAACCTCAAACAGCCCCAGCGGAAGAGTTAGAGAGTTTTCCAATAGATCCCTAGAATTTTTCCAAATCATTGCAGGTTGAAAATGATTTGCCAATGGGGGTTAAGGAGAAATCGAAACGCTTCTTATGCGAAAATTTGGATATCTTTGCTTGGAGACATGATGACATGGTTGGTATCGATCCAAATGTTAGTTGTCATCACTTAAAGATTGATCCTAAAACTATCCCTCATCAACAAAAAAAGAGGGATCTCAACCCAGAAAGATATGAGGCCCCAAAGGATTAAGTGAAGAAGTTGATTGTCAGTCGCTTTATCCGAGAATCAGCATATCCAAAGTGTGTGTCAAACCTTATCCTTGTTTAAAATCATAATGTCAAGTGGAGGGTATGTGTAGATTTCTCTAATCTTAACTAAGCTTGCCCCAATGACAGTTTTTCACTTTCAAGAATAGATCAGCTCATGGATTTTGCTATCGAGTGTGAATTACTGAGCTTCATAGATGCTTATTCAAGTTATAATCATATCCCAATGTACCTAGCTAATAAGAACGTATGTCATTTTTAACGGACAGATGTCTCTATTGCTATAAAATGATGCCATTTGGAACATTGGGGCCACGTACCAAAGACTTGCTAATAAGATGTTAGCAGACTTC